CTTGAAAAGGACTTGAAGATCAAACAGAGGCAGGAAAGTTACCAAAAGTCATAGAGCAGATCAGCAGTTGGGTAAGGAACATAAACTGATATAGAATCCAAGTCACCTGGCTCCCAGTTTAATACTTTACCTATGAGACTATCTCTCCTCCTACCTGTGAATGTGAATGTGAAATGGAACAAAGTATTGCCTGAAAAACTGGCACTCAGCTTGAAGAGCTGCAGGGCTCTCAAGCACGGCCTATTTTAGGGAGTTATATTTCAGGCAATGATGAGTGAACATTTCAATGTTTCACCTCTGTAACTCACTCAACAAAGTTCTCTAGAAAAAGACTGTGGTACTTCGAGACCTGCCTTAGAATTAATTAAAAAAAAATGAATGAGTCTTGTCAAGTTTAGAGCTGAGTAGGAAAAAATCCTAGAAATAAGAAAAGTGCAGGGGATTTTGGATTTCCACTGATATACCAACTTTCCTGGGTGAATGGGTTTTATTTTTTCGTTAACTTATTCTGTTCACTTGCCATTTGGCTTTCTGAATATTTGCAGATTGAAAACTGATCACAGCACATAGCTGTGTTTGACGGCTAAGAATTAGAAATATACTTTTATCATTATTATTTTAGATTTAGTTTTTGTTGATTTGTAACCACTTGGACAAATTCAGATTGCCATAAAATGAATGAGTAACAATGGAGTAACAGCTGTGCCTGTTGTCTGGCATATTAATAGCTACACAATGAGTAAGACTAGTGCTGGCCTGGTCCAGCAAGGATGAGGATCAACCTTAGTCATAATCCAGATTTGTAACCCACAGTGTTAATATATGGCCTTAGGCAAAAGTCCCTAGAGAATCATGAGTTCTGTGGCTCCCATAGAAAGAAATCACAAGGAACAACTCTTCCAACTACTAAATATAATTACCCCCTCTCTCCCAAAGAGCAACTATATTTAGTTCCTTCCTAGTTGTCCAACATATTTTTCTAAACCCCAAGCTGACAAATATTGTTGGCAGAATGTTTTCAACAAAACAAACCGTTGAAAATGTTTTGTGAAGATATATACATTTCAACAAAGTTAATAGGAAAATTCCTGGTCTCCAGTAAATCTCCCTGTTCTGTATTAGAAAAAAATAGCTCTTCTCATGATTCTTTATGGCCATGACACAACAGTGAGAATACCTGAAAATGTTCATGTATTCTAAAAAGAAAAGTTGATGTAATGACATTTCTCCAGTAATTAAACAGATTTTAAGGAAAATTTGGTAGAACTTTTGAAGCAAAACTTGTTTTTTTATTTGCTTCCAGATTTGAGAGGGTTTCTTTAAAAAAATTCTGTATCCTTGGTTAGCTGAAGCCACAGGAAGTACTGAATAATATGTAGTGTTCCACTGCTTCATGCTTGCTTTTATGAAACTGTGCTGGCTGGTATGGCCTTGAGTAAGCTGCACACTCTTACTCTCTCAGGCATGCCTCTAAATTGGAAATATGCTGATGAGGACATTTTCAGGTGTTCCTTTGAGGCATGCTTGAAAGTGGTCTTTGAGGATGATCCCAGAGAGTAGACTTACTGGCATTTTGGGGGTTTGGAGCATGTCATTGGGAACAGATTGGTAGGGCATATTTGGGGACATTATGACTGGAACCATATCATTCTTAAAAAGCTTACAGAGATGGAGGGAAATCACAATACAAAGAGCAGACAATGGTTTCCAGCAGCAGTCTTTGTTTATTCAGGCATGGTTTTACATACAGGTTTGTATACTTACACTTGATTGTAGAGGCAGCTATTACTACCCAATTATAAGTTGTCCACACATTTTCAGATTCAATTTTAGGAAAAATGACTTTTTTCATGAATAAAAGTTAATAGTTAGAGAAGGTCATTGAAATGTTATTGTTTGCATCAAATCCCATGGACAAATCTGTGAAGGGAAAGCGATTTGGGGCGGGGTGCAGTTTGAGGCCCCCACATTGAGGGATGGACTGGGGCAGAAGCTGTGGTAGGGGCTGGGGTGAATGGGGCCCTGGCCAGGCCAGGCTGTGGGATGCTCGGAGCCTGGGTGGCTCATCCTGGGTTACAGGGGGCTCCCACCACTGTAAACATCCAGGGGCAGGCCTGGGGGGCATGTGCCCTCCACCAATTTGTGCACAGGGTGGAGGCAGGCTGCCACTGCATGCTGGGATCTGCACCCTGCTGCCAATGTCTCTGGAGCCATACAAAGCCATGTGACTGCTGCGACTGGGGTGCACTGTGTGTCCTGCTCGCCCAGCTGCAGGACACACATGGTGTTGCACAGCTCCAGAGGCAGCAGCAGAGGAGCACAGAGCTCAGCAAGCAGTGACAGCCCACCTCTGCTCCACACACAGATCGGGGTGGGAGGCAAGTACCCCCTGGGCCTCCCCCAAGGTGCATCCAGCAGCAGGAGCCCCCCACACTCCTGGACGAGCTGTCCAGGGTCCAACCCTGCCATGACCCTCCTGGCCCTGGGGCCCCATTCACTCCAGCCCCTGCCTCTGCCCCATTTCCTCTCTCACCATGGGGGACTCAATCTGCCCCCCACAGCCCTTCCCCTACACTTACCTGCTGGGGGGGGTGGCAGTGCGCAAGTGCACATGTGCGCTCAGCCCCCCCAAATAATTTTTTCTCCCTTCATCTATGGTTAAGGGGCTGATGGTCAATGATCAACTATTGACCCTTAATTCAAACTGATATTTGATTTGAACTGTGTTATGTGAATCAGTCAACACAGTTTAGAAAATGGTGAACACTTCTACAAATGGCTTAAGTAACTAAAACCCATCAGAAACTCTTCTGCCTCATAAAGTATTAAATAGACGCTTAAATCTGGCTCTTATATATAGTTGGCCGAGAATCAGGAGCCCATAGCATCAGGTTCTGTTCCAGCTATTGGATGTCTAAGTGGGCCCAGTTGCCTAAATGTGATTCAATTCTACCCCCATTCAGGTCCCTGAAAATCCATATTACATTTACTTTTGTAACATACCATTATCTGAACCTTCAGACTGAGTAAAAAAAACAATGAGGAGCAGGAGAGGCCACCCACATTTTTTATTAACTCTTTTTTCTTGAGCAGTATGAAATAAAATTAAAGATAGCACCCCAAGTTCACTTACGCATCTAATAGGTGGAATGGAATCTGGCCTATAGAGGTGATTTAAAGCAACATTGACAAGAAATGTACCCCCCTCCACAACTGCACTGTGTGCTTTTCAGTTGTGAAAGACCTGGAAACTTTGCCCACCAAAAAAATCCTTTAGCTTGGGTCCCATGTGCAGAATTGACAATCCAGTGTATTCTTATTAACCCCTGAGACAATCAAGATGCCAGTTTACTAGTCATGGTCTGGAACAATAGCATATCTCACATGTGGGGAATATGTGTAGTTAAAAACAGGAAAAGCAATTTCCATGTTAAATCACTGGCTTTTGTTGCAGTATAGGCAATTGCACACGTGAACTTTTAAACGTAATACTTAAATGGAACATTTAATTAATGTAATGGGCATCGTGTCATAGGATGGTTGTTGGCCTGAAGTATGTTGTAAAGTGGTTGTGCTATTAAAGCAGCACATGGTACATTGGCATAAAGACTGGAAGAGCCACCCTAGTGCATGCCTAATGATGCTTTGAATAACAATCCACATATGCATTTATCTATTTTCCTTGAATCATGGTGGATTTGAGGAAGTTCACTGCAAAATACTGACCAAAAAAAAAGTCACAGAATAGGAGGGATCTCAGGCACTATACCCCTCTCTAAAAGGCTTGGGTGTGAAGAACTGGAAGGTTTAGGGGATACAGGCTCTAATGTAGAATCTCTTCATTGGGTTCAAGTTCATTCTAAGCCAGTAATGACTATAATTTTTCAGTCCATTGTAGATATTCAGTAGCCTACATGAACTGATATTTTGATTTCTAGATAAAATCTTATGAATAAGCAGTATCTCATTATTAAAGTGGCAGATTTCTTAGTAATCTTTCATGAAGGGTGTTAGGGGAGCTCAGTTTAAATTTATAGCTATGAAGATCATGATATACTTCACTGTTTATTTGGCTGTTCATGTCCATTGCCCTACCTGAGCAAACACACAAAGCCTAATACATAAAACATAGTACTAGAAATGTGCCAAATCCTGCTGTCTGAACAGGCTCTTCCAGTGGTGCTTTTCAGATATTTTAGATGCTACACGTGCTCCTATTCCCAAAAGTGGAAATCAATCCAAGTTTGGGGCTGAAAATGGGGCTAATTTTTTTTCCCCTAGAGCAGATCCTTTTTCTTGGAGGAAGATGGAAGGAGAAATTTCAGACAAATCCATAAGGAATTCTAGAGGGCAGAAAAGTAAAGTCCAAAATTGATGTAGGGCCTGTTATGCTGCTGTATTACTTGCAAACAGTTTATGTTCAAGAAGTTATGTGGACATACATATGAATGATGCAGTGATGAATCTGGCTGTCGGGCACTGCTGTATAGATCCAAAGTCCACTAAAGCCAGTGGAAGGACTTCCATCAACTTCAGATGGGTTTGGATCAGAGCCTGACTCAGCAAACCACTTATGCATGTGCTTAGATCCCACTCTGCTTGTAGTCACTGAAGCGAGCAGGAATTTTGTCATTGGCTCCTTAGAGAGCAGACAAGACACATACAGTGTTTATAGATGCGCTCCAGGAGTGGGGGAGGAGAGGGGTACTTTAATTAGATTGGCTCTGAGAGTTGCTCTAATTAAAGCTCGTAGAGCATCACATGTATCAGCATCCCCGCACTCAAAAATGGTGGCGGGGGCACTTTAACTAAAGCTCGTCGAACAAGCTCTAGTTAAAGCATCCCTGCTGCCATTTTTCAGTGTGGGTATGCTAATGCATGTGATACTGGAGTCTGCTGGAGTGCAGTAATTACCACGCGCTAGCAGACTTGATTAATTGAGTTTACTCTGATGCACTGTAATTACAGTGTGTCAGAACAGCCTTCCTGCATGTATATAGGAACCCATAAGGCTCAGACAGAAGTGAAAATTTTCTTCTGATCTGGCCCCTGAAAGTGCTCTACAGCTGTGACCGAACACAAGTGCATGGCTGGAGAACACTTTAAAAGTGATTATATGAGGGTTCATGTGAAGATGCTTCAAAGCAGAATGCCTACATTAACTGGGATGGAAGAAGTGATATGAGTAAAAGAAAGAGATTACTTGATTCACTTACCCCAAAGTGAATCATTTTTTTCCTTTGAGTTTTGCAGAATTACTGTTTTGAAATTAAGTTTTATTTGCATATACTTCTAAACTTCCTGGTTCTGGATGGGATAGGAAGTGGAAATGCTGAAATTCTACGAGAAAGACTGATGTATTTCTGACTTGGCATGAAGAACTGAACATCTTATGAATGAATCTGTTTGTAAGAGATTTCTAAATCAGTTTGCTAACTAACACAAGGGTCAGGTATAGACATTGTACTTTTACCGGTATAAGTGATTGGATACTGGTTTATATATACCGGTAACAAAATAGAGTTTGACACACAAAACTGGTCTATATCTGTAACAGAACAGAAGTTTGGTGCACACAAAGGGCAAATGTGTGTTCTGTTCACTACAGATCTAAACTACACCACTTACAGAAAACTGCATGACTCAGATTGATTCCACCTTGGGCTTTTTGAATGTCTGTTCCTAGCAAAGAAATTTAGATAATTCATCAAACAAGTAAACTTTCCTGTGCTATTCACAACAACAATAAAATGTTTGCCTACTATTATTGTTAAGGTGGAAAAGTGAACCAATGTGAAATAAAAATATCTGTCCTGTATGAGAACTCAGTATATATAATATGAAAGTATAGTGTAGACATTCCCTACAGCTGTAAGTATACGTAAGAAAATGTCACCTTTTCAAATAGTATAGTCTAGATACATGCAATACATATAGTATATTATGTCTGTATAAAAAATGCATACAGTTGTAAATCTTTGTGTTCTTATTTTAGAATGTGATATATCCTCAGGTTTATATTTGGACCAGGATCTAAACATATAGATGCAGGCCTTACTTCATTAGAACATTTTGAGAGGCATATTTAAAGCATAGTTTAAACAAGATATAACTGAAGACAGGACATGGCTCTTTTAAAATTTATTCTAGAATAGGACAACCATGGTTATACCAACCATGGGAGAAACGCTTTCTCAGGGCTTGTTCTTGAAAGTGTTTTTACTAGCATAGCATAATTTCTACTTACAGGTGAAACTATTTTAGTTTAGTTTGCACTTACATCCTGGAAAAAGATCAAGTGTAACCTGGAGTACCATATTTGAAATCTTCAAGAAGCCCTGTTTTGAAAATGTTATTAAGATCTGTTATAAGTGTAGGCCCTGATTTTAAATCATTTGTAATTTATGAGAAGCACATTTCTAAAGTATAATGATAAGTGCTTTTAAGGAGTTTTTAGCAAGTACTTACCTAATGAACATTATACCTCTGGGATTACTGACAGTGATTGCTGACTCAGCTCTTGACAAGGTTGGTAGGTTGAAACCAAGCTTTTGTTCTTTTATGTTTATGGCTACCACCTGAAGACAATGCATAATGACTACCACCTGAAGACTATGCACAAATGAAAGGATCTGGGGGGGTGTATTATGGGCCAAATCTATTTTCAGATACATTATTATCTGAAATAGTGTATCTACTCAGATAACAGGTCCAATCTCTCCATTGACTACTGTGGATTTCAGTGGTATGCCTGAAAGCAGAATTTGGCTATCTGTGATTAGGATGAACTTAAATAAAAACCTTGAGTCTGAACATCATCAAATTTGGGGGACAGTTGGCTCAGCTTCTGAACTTTGTGTCTCTCCTTCATGCTTCTGATGGGATCCTGGTCTAATTTACACCCAGTTTTACCAGGTGTACCAATGAGCACATGCAGCCTACACTGGTGAAATGAAAAACGTTTAAGTTCTCTGTATCTAAAAATCCTAAATCTCTGAGATTGGTTCAGATCTGGGTCTACAGTTTATATTTCTAATGTATCTGTATTTTGTATATACATTTATGTAAGTGTAAGGAAAGTGTCAACTTTAGGCATTAGCTGAGCCGGCAGGGAGCTGTGCTTCTGAGCCATGTGCCAACAGAGCGCGCAAGCAGGTGCGCTCTGTAATGGCACGCCGGCGTTCGCACTAGGCAGGCATAGAGGAGTAAGCCAGGAGTGAGTCTCTGGCAGGGAAGAGAGGAAGACTCAGAGCTCCACAGACATGGCAAAGATGTGGCAAGCTGCTGCTAGGGATCCTGCCTTGGTGGCATCACTGCCCTGGGCTCCTCTGAGGCCTCCACCCAGACGGAGCCCATGGCAGGGTCGGTGGCACCAAACCCCCCTGTCTGTGGGGGCTGCCTGGCAGGGGCCCTGCGGTTGGGGGTGGGAGAGGGGTCTGGGGGCACACTTGCCTGTCCCTCTTGGGCCCGATTTCGGGCCCTGGAGGAGCAGGTGAGGGAGCTCCAGGCTGAGGTGAGCAGGCTGTGGGGGATCATGGCTGTAGAAGACAAGATTGACACGTATTTCCATTTTCTGAAGGATCAGTTTTCCAGGGGACAGACCTCCAGGAGAGACGCAGAGAAGAGGAATGGCAGAAGGTGCCCACCAGAACCAGGGCTGTTCAGGCTAGCATAGTGGTGACTCCCCAGGTATAACTGGGGAATAGATACGAGGCCTTGGCAACCTTAGAGGAGAAGGTCAAAGCAGATGCCTCTGGGGGGGACAGTGCCACTTTACATACGGCATGGTCTGAGCAAAGACAGAACACCAAGAGGAAGAAACGCTGAGTCCTCATCATCAGAGATTCCACCCTGAGGGGAAAGGAGGGTCCCATCTGCCAACTTGACCCCATGGCACGTGAGGTCTGCTGCCTGCCTGGGGCTCAGATTCAGAATGTTACAGAGATGATCCTGGACCTCATTTGACCCTTGGACCCCACGGTTCTAATCCATGTGGGAACAAATGACTCAGTTGGGGGCAGTTCAGACTGCATCATGAAGGACTACAAGGCCCTGGAGGCCAAGCTCAAGGAGACGGGGGTGCAGGTGGTATTCTCCTCTATTCTCCTGGTAAGTAGACATAGACAGCACCATGAGGCGTGCATCGGTGTGGTCAACTGGTGGCTTTGGAGTTGGTGCTACCAGGCAGGCCTTGGGTTCCTTGACAACGACCTGCATTTTTGTGCAGGGGTTTAGGTTAGACATCAGGAGGCACTACTTCACAGTCAGGGTGTCTAGGATCTGGAACCAACAAACATAGTAAGTGGTGCTCGCTTCTACCTTGGGGGTCTTCAAAAGAAGGCTAGATACTCACCTAGCCGGGGTCATTCGATCCCAGCATTCACTCCTGCCCGTGGCAGGGGGTTGGACTTGATGATCTGCTCAGGTCCCTTCTGACCCTACCAACTATGAAATTATGAAACCATGCAGTAATAACTGCGCAGTCCACCGCTTGTGTAATCACAGCCACAGACACATAGAAAAGCTTCTTTTTGAGACCACTGTTCAGATTCTTCCACTTAAATTCATTTACTATTTATATGTATATGTAGACAACACAACAATATTCTTCAGAACAAGAACAAAATGAAAAGTCTAATGATATTTTAAACCAACCATCAAATATGGTTGATTTCAAGAAATAATCGGGGAAGACAAAGTATCAAACAGACTTACAAGAGACTTATAGCAGAAACCTGTTACTTAATAGGAAAATTAATTCCTCCTCTGGTTTCATCAATAGCTACGACATGCATCACAAGAGGAAAAAAAGCCTCTGGATTCCAGTTGCATATTAGAGTTTGTTTCCTTGGCAAAGGGAACAGAGTGGCAGGCTGTCATGAAGCTCAAGGCTGTCCAAAGCCATAGAAGTCTGTATCTCCCCAGTTCTGTGTGCGTACTGGGAGCAGCAGAATTCTAAGGACCTGCACTTCCCATGTTTCACAGCTCCTTTGCCAATAGATCATTTACTAGCCATGTAGTTTACTTGGCTTTTTTCTGTGGAACCAGATCAACAGAGCAAAAGGAGCAAATGCAACATGAGGCAACACGAGGCAACCTTGAATGCATGTTGTCATGACTGATCCACTAAAATGTTTAAAAACATTTTTATAAAAAGCTTCATTCATACTGAAACCAAGCTGAACTGTGCCTTTAAGGCATGACTGAATGCTTTAGTGTTGTTTTTTCAGTGGCTTTCTACTGCTACGTCAGCCCTTACACCACTGTTCTACTTTGCATTAGTGCCAGTTGACTTTCCAGGTTTGCCTAATCGAGCAATGAAAAAACAGAGTGACTACTAGGATGAATCAGCAGAGAGGCGGAGGCAGGAAGACTCACTGAAACTACAGGATAATTATGCAAACATGAGGTGAATGTCTAAAGGTTTAGAACCAGACGTTTGGCTAACAGACATTCAAATTTATGAATGCTGATGTGAAGGCACCAGTTTCGATACATGCTAAGTGTTTTCTCATTTACAACACATCCTGGAGAGTCAGATTCTTCTTTTTCTGTTAAGAACTGCCTATGAACAGCTGCACAGAAGTAGCCATTAGCTATGCACAACAACAAGTTTTATTGGTCCTAGAAAACCCAGGAACAATACTGCATGTTCTTAAGCGCCATCTACTGGCACTTTAGCTATTAACTATTTACATACTGGTTTTATAGGCTTTTTTTCTTTCACGGATCACGTGCAGTAACAACTACTTTGCCAGCCTCACAATAGCTTCCCTGTCTGTAGCCCCATTATTATACTGCACCTCATTGATCTCTAAGCTCCTCAGGTGACCTCTTACCTGCCCAGGGCTTCTATGCTTCCTTCACCACAACCTTCTTAGCTCTGTTTCATTCTTATGCACACTCCTACAGCTTTGTTTCCCATACGTTACCTTATATGCCCACCTTTAGCCCATATGGTCCTCGCTCAGTTGGGCTCCCAGAGCTTCCCTTCTACACTTCTCAGCCCTGTGAGGAGTCTAGTGGGCCAGTTGTGGTAGGATCAAATTTATATTTTTTTGAGCCTCCCCCTATGAGACACAA